AAGAGGGTAGATTTAGGCTAGACATAAGGGAAAAAATTTTTACAATGAGAGTAGTGAAGCACTGGAACAGGTTGCCCAGAGAGGTGGTGGAAGCCCCATCCCTGGAGGCATTCAAGGTCAGGCTGGATGGGGCTCTGAGCAGCCTTATCCCGTTGGAGATGTCCCTGCTTACCGCAGGGGGGTTGGACTAGATGACCTCTAAAGGTCCCTTCCAGCCCGAATGATTCTATGATTCTATGACATACTGCTTTTAAATTACTTTTTCATATTGCTTTACACAGTTGTGCCTGCTTGAAAACAGCTGTATCATGGTGAATTTGGTTCCCACAGACTGAGGCAGATTTGGTTTAAATAACATGAATTAAATCCTATTCTCCTTCTTATGTAAGGCTGATTTGGGGAAAAAGTAACCTTTAGAAGGGGTATAGCTCAATAAAAAGGAAAGCAGTCTGCCTCTAGGCATGTTTGTTGGTACTGGAGGATCCTACTGGTGTGTTGGAGCTGTAACTCCATCCAGGTACAGGAGACAGTGGCTTTCTTACTGATTAGAGACTTGTGTTTAGAATAAACCTGTTTTTAGGCAGGCCTTGGCTTTCTAGATTAGTCGCACAACATTTGGAGTATAGAATCTCTAGTCTTCGATACAACTTTCTCTCCATCTGCTTAGCTCTTAACACATGCAGTGTCCTGAAAAGAGTTTGTCTTTGGTAGAGAACAGATGCAATAAATGAGTTATTCGTAGGATCAGAATAGAATTTTTGAGACTGGAGAGCTTTAGCTGCTTGGGGAGCTGCGTGTGAAAGGCATTTGTAACCCTATATTCAAAGCTGAAATAATGATATTAGCCTGTGTTTCGTGTATGTTTTGGTTTGAATTTTTTTTAAGCCAAGTGAGTGTGGAAAAATACATTAGTGTTATTGATTTGGCTCCATAGTAAGTCATCAAGGAAAAAGGTTTGAGTTTCTATCAGAAGCAATGCTTTGTTCCACCTTGTCAGCCTTTTCTATTTCAGGTTATCTGAGTAGCAGCCTGATTCGGTGGTAAGAATCAAGGTCATATTTTATTCAGTACAAGAAAATGGAAAACCTGGCAAGAGCCAAGGTACTTGTTTTAAAGTGGTTTTATTTAGCTCTTTCTGCTATAGCTGCTGTCAATGGCAAGAGATAAAGCTGATGACAGAATACAAGGAATTTACTGTTCATTATTCATTACTTGCTAAAGATTTAAGTCTGTAAAGGGTTTTATTATTCTTTTCATGGGTCTTTCAGGTTTTCAGATGTGATTGCCTAGCAAGAAATTGGATGAAGCAATTAAAGAAAAATTGCATTTTTTTTTAATTATTACCTTGACAGAGAACTTGAATGGAATTTAATCTACAGAGTATTTATTCAAGGATAAATTCACTAGTTAAAATTGCAGTGTAGCAAGATTATGTTCATGCTTAAATCTGTCATTATTTGAATAATCTTTAGACTTCTGTGGTGTGGTGGCATCTGACCTTACTGACACCCACAGTTGTAACTAGCTCTATTGTGAAGGCTTTAGTTTAAAAATAAAAATCTGAGTTACAAATTTAGAGCAATTGTAGACCTCATTAGGATGTGGAATGAATGAGTGAATGTTTACCTTTAATGCAGCAAAAAACTGTGAAGAGGAACAATTATCAGTAGGGTTGTATTATATTGTTTGTTCTTACAGTAAATTTGAGGTTTCTTGGTGTAAATAGAAAATTAATAAACATTGCAAGAACTTGCCTTCCTTAGGAATTCCTTGATATCAAGTGCAATGAATCAAAATGTCTGCCATGCTTTGTAATACTTTCAAATTTTTGTGGTGGTCCTAGCACTTTTCTTTAGATTCTTACTAACTTGTGGCTTGGCTGTCTTTCTTCCTCCTGCTTAGGAACGTTAATGCATCCTTTCATTTAGGACTGCTGTACGTGCATATCAGGAGCATGGAGGTGAAAAGAGAGATGGTTTTACAGGAGTGCATAACATGACGATTCTGATTTAAACAGATGTTGTGGGGAAGGACAAAGAAAGAAGCAAAGTCAGACTTTGCTTTTACCTTCTTATTGAGACAAATGGAAGGAATTGCAGTTCTGATTCAAGATGTCAGTCTTCCAACTGAACGGTCTTCTTGAATGCAAATGATGTAGTTCTAGTTTTAGAGTGCTACTGTTAAAAATTTGCCTCTATACCTACTCTGATATGTTCTGTACTTACAACTGGACATGGGGATACGACAGTTATGTTTGTTTTACCTATTGTTCAATATTAAATTGCTTTTCCTGCAGTCTTCCCTGGAATCTGCATCTCAAACTGCTTTCCCTTTCACCACTATGCCAGTAGTAAGTTGCTACAGGCTGCATTCTGCTCTTACACACTTGCAACTTAATTTCAGTATACTTCCACCACTATCAGAAAAAGATTCGGTGCTTTAAAAGAATCTCTTGCAAATATTTTATAGGCACAGTTATTCTTATAAACAAAATACGGTTATTCTTCTGTACGGAAACATTTTCATCTTATAAATGGAATACTATCCAAAATAGTGAGATCTCAAAAGGAAGCTGTTAGACAACATATTTTTCGTTACTTCAAGCTTGAGCCTGACAAAATTCAGGTTTCCCATTGTAGATTTTCCCCCCTTTTTCCTCATAGAGGAGTTAAAACAAAAACAACCCCCCAGCCTGTTTACAAATTACATGCTAGGGAGAAAATATGGCCTTTTAAAGCAATTACTGTATTTTTGTTGCTTTGAAAGTGACTAGTAAGATTGGCCCTTGCTGTGCATAGAATTCCCTTCTAAATTTTATCTAACAGGCTTTAATTAGTTACAAGGGTTATTTCTTTTTCTTTTTCTTTTTTTTTTTTAAAGAGATGCAGAGGAAAGACCTTCAGTATGTATATGTTCAAGTATAAATTTGTCAAATAATTTTCTGGCAACTATTTAGCCCTGATTTTCATAAGAGAGAATATGGCAATCTGGCAAAATGACTAGAGTTGGAAGGGACTTCTAAACTATAACTTCTCCTCCCAGATGCTAACAAAGGTTAGAGATGGGATGCAGAAAGGGCAGGCTGAAACAAAAAAAATATGAGGGGGAGAGGGAATAAAGGTGAGGAGTAGCTGAGAAGCTGAAACAAGGAAAAAATTTGATTGAAGAGTTTAAATGGCTAGGAGGAAGGTTTATTACTGACAACAAATGCTAGGGGAGGGAGAAGAAAAGGGTCATGAACCACTGTAACATTGCCACGTGGAAACTACAGTCATGATTCCTGGTTCTTAACATTATTTTGTTTAGTAGTACTAGAGCATTTCTCAGCTTTTTACTATCTCAATTACTGTCTGTTAATGGTTACAAACAAGAAGGCTTTTACTGTTTCATCTTAATGATGTTACTGAAATTGTTAAGGGAGCAAAACTTCAGCATCAAAATAGTGCTGCAAAACTTCAGTTAGTGCATAATGTCTAATTAGATTGTGTCTTCATAGTTAAATTTTAGGGATGCTGTTGAACACTTTTATAAAGGTTTAACTATGATTGCAATGGCTTGTGTAAACTATTTGTTTAAAAAAAAAAATTTGAACCAGATTATATTTGTACTAAGTTCCTTATTATGTTAGATTCTGGTTTATTATCTGAACTTCAATATTTTTACTATGGGAATTAGCAAATTATTTCACGGTGAAAACTAAATTATTGAGTTAACATAGCTGAAAGTTTCCTGGTTTGATCCATATTTTACTGTCTCTTGCAAGTTGTAAGGTGTCCAAGGATCTGGCCTAATCATCAGATCAAATATCTGGGGATTACTGGGCTGCGTGTTCTCCTCAGGTCAGGTCACATAGCCTGTCACTCTCATGTTTTCTCCTTATAGAATTAATATGTTTGAATTTTATATATCCAGATAATTCTTCAGTGCAGAAATTTTCTCCTCTAATATTCTTGGAACTACTTTGTAACTTTTGTATAATACAAATTATCTGAATTAAATACTTCCTCTTTTCAGAGAGAGGGAAGAAATGGAATATAATTATTTGCCGTTTGTTTTGTGATACATTGTATCATTTGTGTTGTTTTGTCATTTAAGTGGATTGGAGTTAGTTTCCCAAGTAACAGACTACTGTATGGATCTTATATTTTTAATTTTAAAAACTTACCAAAATGTCTGCTATAGAAGGAGATGATAATACATTTAAGAATATATGGAATGTTCATATGTGGAATTATTCAGAGATTGCACTATAGTCTCAATGCTTTTTAATTCATAAATTGTCTAAAAGTTAAATTAGTAAGTCAGAATGTATAAAAGCAGTTGTTTAGCTGCCTGTAATATTATATTAATACCAGAACAAGACTGTGGTACAAAATACTTAAAGTTTTGGTGATTAAGAATGAAGCCACAAGCATCATCTCCTCTAGGTGCACATTTTATAAAACTACATGCTTTCATATGTGAAAGTTTATTTTAAGCACGTAAAAGTAGCAAAAAATCTCATCTTTTTTCCTTCCTGTAATTACAGAAGCTGCTGGGTTTGTTTTGCTACCGATGAGGATGATCGGACAGCAGAATGGGTGAGACCCTGCAGGTGCAGGGGCTCTACGAAATGGGTTCATCAGACTTGTCTGCAGCGCTGGGTGGATGAAAAGCAAAGAGGAAACAGTACTGCTAGAGTTGCTTGTCCTCAGTGCAATGCAGAATATTTAATAGTATTTCCAAAGCTAGGTAAGATATGTATCATTTAAATTTTAAACTTAATATAATGGGTTGTTTCTTTATATTGTTCCTATTTTTTTTTCTTTTTTTGTGCTCGGAGCATCAGTTCTGTTGAAAACTTGTCTATTCCCTTTTCCAGAAAAAAATAACTAACTTCATGTTCTGCTTGTGTCTTATTTGGTGGCTTAGTTAAATACCTTCTGAAAATTTTGGATGTGTTCCACTTAAGTATATTGATAAGTCTTATAAGTGATTGACCTACAATTAATTAATGGTTCACGCGACTTTTTTTTTCTTGTTGAGCAGAGGGTGACTTCTTTCAGCAATTGCCGCATGTTAGCATGTAAACACATCCTTTTTTTTTTTCCCCTCAGCTTGCAGAGAAGCTGTTATAAAAGGAAATTCAGAGGGAAGAACCTTACTGAGCAACCTATTGCATTCCCTGAAAAACATATTTTTACTTTGTTTGGGTGATATTCCTGAGTCAATATTGCCCTGTATTCAAGAGGCAGAGTATCTGTGGTTGCCAGACACTGCTCTAGCTCTCTTTGTCAAGGTGAAAGAAAAAAAGTTGGAGATTGTCTTCCAGAGTTTACTTACTTGAGTAGCTGAGTAGGACACTGCACAATATGTTGCATATATTTAAATTAGTGGTGGTTGCTGTTATTCCAGCCCTCCTTTGCCCATATGTTCTGTGGAGTATATTAAGTAGGGCAAGAAAATGAAATGTTGCCATGGAAACAAATTTTGTTTGAAAGTAAAACTGCTTGTTAAAGAAATGCTGATATAGCATGTGAGTACAGGCACTTAGAGAACTTTTAAAGAAGATTTTTTTTCTTTTTAAGTGTCTTATTTCTGTAATGAAACAGCTGAAAATAACTTGCACTATCAGGTCTTTAGGATAGGACCTCTTTTCTGTTAGTATAAGGTCTGACAAAATCAAGGTGTGAAGGGAATTTTATATGGGTGATGACACACATTTCCATGATAGAACACTGAGTAATGGGAAAGAAAAATAAGGACTACTGTATTGTTGATACTCAATAAAACGTAAACCAGCATGAAACTTACTTCATGTATCAACGAAAAATCAGCTTTGCTATAAGGATAAGGTAGAGATTAATCTTAATCTCCATTATAAAGAAGGCATCAAATGATAAAATTTAGCATTGACTTTGGCGAAAAAGTTGCTTGGTATCTGGACACTTACAGTGTACCACAAAACCTGAAGCTGTTTAAAATTCTTACTTGTGTCTTGAATGATGAAATTGTAATGTGAGCTGCATTTGCATTTTATTTTGGCAATGGGAAAAAGAGGAAGCAACTATAGTTTGGAGAGCGTACATGCACATAAACAGCAGGCATTCTCATTTGTTCTTGCAATTGGTAGCATACTTTATTTGAAAGCTGAGATTCCTAAATGCTAACATTCCTAGCTTCTGAAGCCAGCCTGAAATTCTTGCACAAGATTGTTCAGCATGCCTGCAAGGATCTTTTGACATCTTTTCCCTAGCAATACCATCTTTTTCCGTTTTCAAAGGTGAGAATAGCATAAAAAAACAAACTTGTGTAAGAGTACACAAGACATTGATAGTAGAGCAGGGAAATGAATTGGGGTCCGTCAAATGTCAATCATGAGCTTGAAGTGCCTCAAGCAAGTGAAACAGTCTCGCCCTTTTGTAGCTCTTTCTAGTAACCCAAAACTGTTATATCCCAGCTCAACTATAAGTCAGTCAAGGTCACACCAGGCACAGTTAGGACAGTAAGATGTTTTCAAGCAGCAGGTGTCTTTTGAAGATGTTACTAGTCATACCATCCAAGAAACTAAAATTAATTGAGCAGGGAAGAAGTAACAACTAAAGTTTCCCTGAGGTATCGTAGTTCAGAAACTTATTTACATCAAGACTTCTCTAATGTACTGCTGGAAATTTTTTTTCTAAAAACAAATTTCTGTGAAAGGGCACTCCTTAACAGAACTTCTTTTATTTATTTATGATCATAGTTTTGAAGCAGTATCAACTTGAGGAGACTTCAATGTATATCTTTATAAGTAACAGTGGGTGTCTTTATGTATTTACCAATTCAAAATAATCCCCCTAGTGATGTATCTTCTTAAAATTATAATGCCATTTCAAATTTGATAGTGCATATCAGTTTTAGAGACTTTAAAAGTAACTGAAATATCTTTTAGATAATTATTTCAGTTTAATAAATAGAAAACACGGTTTGGCAGAAAAAACTGTGTTGAAGCATGGTAGTTTTTACAAAATGAAAAATATTTTTGTGTATTCTTCTCTGATTTGTGTCAGTGATATTTAATTTCCTATTTCTTCCTTGATACCATCTTAAAAGAAAGAGTTACATTTGTCTTCCTTTCTCATTACTTTCTTCCTAAAGGGCTAATTAAAAAAAAAAAAAAAAAAGAAAAAAGAAAATTCCTGGAACAATGTTTTTCTAGTCTTTTCTCAAGATTCTATACCTAATTCTGTAGCTTGCTGCTTTTAATGGTTAATATCAGTAGGTGCAATTTGTTAGTACTTTTAGTGTTAGACTTCTGTTGCCTTATCAACATTGCCAAGATGTGTAAGACAAGTTTCAGTACTTTGTGTTGCCCTTTAGGATTCACCAGATATGATGGGTTTTCTGAGTCTCTTGTCTTCACCTTCTTCAAACAAACGCAAGTTTTCAAAATGGTACAACTACACAACTTTTTTGGTGACTGTGGGAAACAGTCAAGATACGTGAATTACTGTGTGTTTAGTACCTGCAGCTATGACTTTGTTGCTACTTTGAACACATTGATAGACATCCCAGCACCTTCTTAAGTCTGTCCTGGAAAGTTAAACATAACTGTTAATACAGTTGAACTGCTTGTTCCAATTCTTTGTATTTCACAGAATTGATTAGGTTGGAAGAGACCTCTGGGATCACAGAGTCCAGCCTTTGCCCCAACACCACCATGTCAACTAGACTGTGGCATTAAGTGCCATGGCCGGTCTTTTCTTAAACACCTCCAGAGATGGTGACTCCACCACCTCCCTGGGCAGCCCATTCCAATGCCTAACAGCCCTTTCTGTGAAAACATGCCTCCTAATGTCCAACCTGAACCTCCCCTGGCGCAGTTTCAGACTATGCCCTCTTGTCCTGTCACTGGTTGCATGGGAGAAGAGGCCGACCCTGACCACGCTACAATCTCCTTTCAGATGATTGTAGAGAGCAATAAGGTCTCCCCTCAGCCTCCTTTTCTCCAGACTAAACAACCCCAGTTCCCTCAGCTGCTCCTCATCAGACTTATGCTCCAGACCCTTCACCAGCTTCGTTGCCCTTCTCTGGACACGCTCCAGCACCTCAATGTCAGTCTTGAAGTGTGGGGCCCAGAACTGGACACGGTACTCGAGGTGTGGCCTCACCAGTGCCAAGTACAGGGGGACAATCACTTCTATGGTCCTGCTGGCCACACCCTGATAGAAGCCAGGATGCCATTGGCTGCCTTGGCCACCTGGGCACACTGCTGGCTCATGTTCGCCCAGCTGTCGATCAGCACCCCCAGTGCATTTTGAGTGTTCCTTCTTCAGAAACCCTTTAATTTTGGTACCTCATCAATAATAGGATGCTCAACTCAAGAATAAATTAACTCTGTAGTTACACTTTGTCTGCTATTTATGGACTAATTTACATCAGTTGGTGTAGTTGAAGCAGGGTGCTGGTGAGGTGTTTACTATCATACAAGCCGCAGAAGAAGATGCTTCATGTCCTTAAAACTAGAGCTTATTACTAAAACAAAGAATACATGCTGTACTAGGAGATGCATGCAAAGGTAACCAGTTTGAAGTACATGAGTAGTAGGTTAAGAACTTGATGATCCAGCAGAGCTGGAGTAGAGAGTATATTAAGCAACATTCTGCCCAAGTTGCTTAGGACTGCCTGCTAGTCTGATACATAACTTGGCATTATTTACAGTGACTTCTATCAAAACTGCATATAAGCTAAATGTGTTTAAATTGCAACTCTTCAGTATGGTACTCACACACATACCTGTGTATGGGAAAAAAAAAAAAAGCGATCCTCCTAGAATGTCTCTGGATGCTACTGCTGTACAAACAGTATGTAAAATCCTACCCTGTTCTTTAAAAGAAAAAAAGGAAGGAAAAAAAACCCACCATGAAACAGATGTATTTGGGAGTGCTTTACAACAATACCAATGCTGATAAAATGTGACAATGAATGAGTTCAATTAGATGTTCCTGTTACTTGTTTTCACTGACTGTCTTAAGCTGAGTAGAAGTGGTTGTTTTGAAAGCATTCACACTAGACCTGTTTTCCTGAAAGAGAAGAACCAACTAAGTCATGAATCAGGAGTTACAATTTTGTCAGTGTGGCTGACAGAAATAAATTTTCTGCAAACTTTTCTTGATGTGAATTTCAAATCTTGATTGTACATTTAAATGCACAGCTTTTGATTCATTTGGTGTAAATATGATAGTTCAGAGACTTATCTTTTTGGGAACAGGGTGCTAAGTTATCATCACCCTAAAAACCTAAGAATATAAAATTGTTATATACTAGGAGTATTCAAGCTAAGAATTGAATGGCAAGTGATTTTTTTGTATGTTTAGACAATGCCAAATACAATACCTTATCTTTAGAAAGGTGCCAAAGATTTTTTTCTTTTTTACCTATCTTCTCAATTCTGTGCAAGGTCAGAACAAGTTTTGATTAATTGGAGGAAAATGGCATACAACTCAGGATCAGTGTACAAAACAGAGCATGCTAACTAGCTTGGCAATTCATCTAGTGGAAGACCTGTACATCTAGTATATCAGGACTTCAGTAAGTCATTTAACACCATTGCTCGAGAGATCATTCCTTCCCTCCTCTCCCACTCCTCCCGTGTGCGCCCCCCCCCCAAAAAAAAAAATATTATTAAGTAGTAAAGGAATTATAGGCTGGAGTGGGTAAACTGTGATGAGAGACACGGAGGATTAGTTACTTGAAAAATACCCACAGGCTGGTTTTGAGAATAACGTCAGTATTTTCACTGATTTTTAGTAGGAAAAAGTAGGAGGGAGTTAACAAGAACTATTCATGCATATGAACTGGAGCACAATCTGTATGTAGAATTCGTTGACAAATACAAAATTAGTGTGGAATCTGATGATGACACTTTTCACTTCCATACGTACATTTTGGACTTCAACTTCTGACTTTTGCTTTGCTGGTGCTCTTGCAGTCTCAAAGAAAGATGCAAGCATGCCCTTGTTTACCTTACCAAAGTTGGTCAGGATATGTCTTGCTCTGTGCAAGTCTAGGAAGTGCAGTTGTCCACAGACAGAACAATGAAACTCTATTCATGCATTGTTGTCAAAGGCACTAAACAGGCTAAATAGGAGGGTTTTTTCTTCCCAGCATTTGAGAGGTAATCCTCTAAAAATATTGAATATGGCTTCCTCCAGAGGAAGGAATCTTTCATATTGACTGTGCTACTTTTTTACTGTAGAACCTGATAGTTTAGTGACAGAAGTCTCAGGTGAAACTGTCAAAGATAAGCACAGAAAGTACATCACAATTAATTAGTATTCCTTGCTTTTGAAAGCTAAAATAGCTAACAAATAAAAAAGCCACTAAGCCTAAAATGGTTTCTACAACAGAACAATACTGATTCAGCACAGACAAAGGAAGCTAGTCAACTTTAGTGAGTAAATCAGTCAGTCCTGTAACCAATGTATTAATCCCTCAGAAGGGCGTTGCTGTGAATGAAATGGTAGGTAGAAATAAGTTACAAGTTTAGCTTAGTAGCTTTTTAATTATATGTTCTCATTTAAACAGCATGTGTGGGATGTCAGACTTGTATTTTGCTAAGTTCGTTTTTTCTTATCGGTGATAGATGTTGAGAGGTTTCTTCAGTATGCTTTTTTTACATATATATCTCTCTTGAAACCTTACTTTTCCTTTGTCATAGGTCCAGTTGTTTACGTTTTGGATCTTGCAGATCGACTGATCTCAAAGGCATGTCCATTTGCTGCAGCTGGAATAATGGTGGGCTCTATATACTGGACAGCTGTTACATATGGAGCTGTGACAGTGATGCAGGTACACGTGCATTCCCTCTTCTTACCAGCTTTGAAAGCAAGTCTTCTAAGGAAAAAATCAATTAATTAAGACTCCTCTTTCCTTGGCTTAAAACATGCTTTAGCTGCTTTCAGCACTTTCATCAGTGTGGTTAACAAGTGAATTCAAGATGGGTGGATAGAAAGCTTTTCACTTTTAACTGATCATACTGTATAAAGCCAAGTATGCCTGTTCAAAGGTGGTTCAGTCTGCAGCTAACTATACTACTGCTTTAGCTGGCTGTGCTTTGTATGGCAGGCTGGTGAACCCACTTCTATTCGTATGGAAAAGGTGCTATTACCACCTAACTACTAATAATGGTAGTCTAATTCTTCAGAAGAGACATGAGACTAATCTATTCTTGTACCTGTAGAAAAATTTTTCTAGTAACATTCAAACAGTTGAGGCATGGTAAATTTTTCTCCCTACCTAAAAGTCCTACCACTTTTTTATTATATAAAGAAAATACATGCTCTGAATGGTGCAATTCATTCATTCATAAACAACGCATGCAAAGCACTGCAAATTAATAGTATGTTCTTTTTATTACTTCAGACTGTATGGTTAGTTGAAAGAGGAAAAAAAAATACTTATTTTTCCTACTTCTATTCTGGTGAACTTGCTATTTAAATATAAAAATAACGTTAATAGGTGGTAGGCGATTAACTATGGAAAGACTTGTTCATGACTGTCCTAGTTCAACTAGAAGACGAGTTCTCATAGATTGTACAACTAGAAGGACCTTTGCTACCATTTTAATTGTTGATTCCTATGTTGAGCCCATAACTGTTTTGCCTGAAAGCATAAAAGTATTTCTGATGCTAATTCAGTTGTAGATAGAATTAACAAATCTGTAGGCTAATAAGTATTCCTCTACACAGTTCTAATTTTAAATATGCAACCTAGTCCTTACCCATGTAAGTCATATGGCACTGCTTTTTCTTGAATTGTGTGGTGCAGCCCTGCAGTTCTACAAGTCACTCCATCTCAAGATTGCGTGCTGTTTTGGTTCTGTTTGTATGTGATCTCATAGCAGAAATGTATATGACAACCACTTGAAGTGGAGCCCAAATGAATTGATGCAGTCACCCTGATACCAGTGTGGCCAGGGTCAAGCGGCTGCATAAATGACGTATAATGACTTTCAATACCTCCTCCATTCCAGTAGATGAGTCTCTATATTACAGAATGATACACTTAGGAATTTCCTCATCTGATATTTTGTTCTTGTTGTGGCCCTTACAGGAACATTGCAACCATCTGTAATACTACAGCTAGACTTTGTGAAACATACCAGTCCTTAGTTCCTTGCTCACTGTTAGACTGAGCATTTTTGTGTAGGAATTCATCCAACCTTTTTAGCTTCTCTAGAACTACATAACCAAATGGAAAGATAAATGCTCCTTTCTGTAGTTGTTTTGCTTTTGAAATGAGGAGCTGTATAAAAATTAGTTTGGACAGCTAGTTAAATCCCAGGTATGAAGAATTAGCTATTTTCCTATGATTTAATGTTTTTTGATCATATGGATGGAATGCTGGGTAAGAGAACAATTTATTTTTGCTTGTAATGGAGGAGATTAAACTGGGAGTAGTGGGAAACTGTTCCACCCCCTTTTGCCATCCCAAATTTGCTAGGTTTAATACAGTTGTTTCCTGATGCATTTCAGACTCCTTTCCTTCAGTTGAAGGACAAGAGAGAAACACAAAAGGTATTTTAATGGTTGAGATTAGGGTGGAAAAAATAAATAAGAGAATTGACATTGTGACTCCAGTGGTAGCTAAGTCAGTAACAAATCATATGGTGTTACTGAAAACAGAGAGAAATAGTAATGTAAAGCAGAAGAGACAAGATACTGAGGCTTGTTTTGATGTACAAGGACTATAAGGAGAAAAAGGGTAGCGTCAGACATCACAATTTGAGTGGAAGATAGTGAAGGAGCTGGGAGACAAATGCTGAATACTTGTTTGCAGGAATAATATTTTGGTGGCAACAATATTGGTTAAGCCTATTTTTAGAGGCTGTGGTGTATAACACAACTTCCTGTTCTAGAAGCATAAAATGGAATTGTTTTCAAAGCAAGGCAAAAAGCACAGTTTGAAGGTACTGTGGTACGTTACTCTAGCTTCTTCCCTGTGTCCTACTTATTCCAGAAGTACTGGGTTTTGTTAGTGTTTTTTTAAATTTTGCTATCGTTGCATGCTCTTACCACCTAATTTTAAGTTTTGTGCAAGTGAAGACTTAATAGCTTTTTGCATTTGTGGGGAAAACAAGAAGTCAATAAACACCCATCAGGAAATCCAGTGCCTGACAAATATAATAGTTATTATTTTAGTGTTTTTAGTCTTCCTGGGTTCTTATGGAAAAAGTAATGAAAGAGCCCGTTCTTTCCAGAAGCACTTCAAGGACTTTGTTAGCATTTAGTAGTTCTTAAATTGAGACAACTCTAGAGGATATCTGCCACTTTAATTTCTTTTTTTGTCCTACAACCTATTAGAGTTACTTATTTAAAATAAGATGTACTTTTTAGGAAAACATAAGGCTCTGTTCTGTTACAGTGTTATAAACTGCAAAGTCTGATTATTTTTTATGTGCTAGTAGAAAGGTTTAGACACATCAGTAATGACTGTCCTTTAAAATCGTAGTGCTAACCAAATTTAAAAATAAGGTACAAGGGAAGATATGCTGCTATTTCCACAACAGTTGAAAATAGTGTACCTCTTCCTGTATTGTCTAGAGAAGCAATACTTTTTAATACTGTGATTTCTGTTGCTATCAGTTTACTATTTTGATATTTCAGATGTTTAGGCTTTTACTTAGCACCTGAAACTTATTCTTGAGATGGTAAGGAATTGTGTTACAGCTCTCTGCAAGATTAAGGACTTGCAAACTAGGGCTGGTAGCTGGCCTGCATTACACTTGGTAAGCAACCAAGGATGCAAAGGGAAAACTAAGTATGTTAGATAAAACAGTATTCTTTTTTTTACTTTAACTTTTAAGATGCATGGGCAGCCCCAAACAAACTAGACTTTTTAAAAGTTATATTCTTTGTTTAGTTGTGGCCTTTATTATGTTTGTCAACTATATACATATTTACCAGGTTGTGGGTCACAAAGAAGGTCTTGATGTCATGGAGAGAGCTGATCCTTTATTTCTTTTGATTGGACTTCCCACTATCCCAGTCATGCTAATATTGGGCAAGATGATTCGTTGGGAGGACTATGTGCTCAGACTGTGGCGCAAATACTCTAATAAGCTACAAATTTTGAACAGCATATTTCCAGGTAATGTGATTAAATTTGAAAGGAAATATCAAGCTTGAATTCATGCCTTTAGGAGATGGGGATAGGCAAGTAGTTTTCACCATTCTTAAGTAAAGGTGATGAACACCTTCCCTCCCTCTATTTTATGTTCAGTCCATTTAGATTGTGTTTGTGTAGTAGCTAGTGAGAAAGGTGGGGCAAGAGGAGCAGGAGCATGGTTTCAGTTAAGGCCTTAGTAACAAAACAAGCTACTGAAAGTCATGGGTCTTACTTGAAAGTAAAAATGAATACAGTGATTTAATGGAAATGGAATAGTCATGGAGAAGAGGGATAGTTCTCAAAAAGTAATTGAGCTATAGATTTGGAATGGAGTGGGGGGTGGGCACTAATGTGCTTTCTATGCTCTGTTTGAGGTGGTGGCTATGTAACCTTTTTTCCCCCTACTCTTACCCTTTAGGTATTGGATGCCCTGTTCCTCGTATTCCAGCAGAGGCCAACCCTTTGGCAGATCATGTCTCTGCTACACGTATCCTATGTGGAGCTCTAGTTTTCCCTACTATTGCTACAATAGTTGGCAAGCTGATGTTCAGCAGTGTTAACTCAAATTTACAAAGGACAATCTTGGTAAGATTCGGGTGTTTGAGAAATGAATATAATATGGCAATGTGAAGTGTTGTGGGGGGAGGGAGAAAGTAAAAAGGGACATAAATTGATCTAGAACTTAAGAGTGGCATTTGATTAAGGGAAGGGTTTGGGTTTTTTTTAAGGTTGCCTTTCTTGACAGTGGGCAAGCATCATATGCATGAGAGACTTTGTCTTTATGACTGAAACTAATCTCAATTCAAGACAAGGCTGAAACTTGTATCTGGTACTGTACTAGGCAGACTTTAGAAGTGATTACGGGTGATAATGAAGATGAGGAACAGCATCTTCTAAGAACAATCTCTGCAAGGGAAGACTGGGGTTTATATAATCAACCTTTTCATATTAGCTCTTTAAGAGAATCCCTTTGTTACTTATTTTAATAAGGAGAGAAAAATAAATGCTCCATAGAAGTTGAATGGAGGGAGGAGGACAAAAAGAGGAGCCAATCTCTTCCTTTGTTAATTAGCTCTCTGGCTTGCAGCCTTTCAAGGGGAAGCACACTGAGTTTGGTAGGATGGTATCCCTGGTCATCTGACTGTCACTTCAACCCATTTTCAGTTCCAACATGTTTATGCACCCATCTCTTCCATATGGAAGAAACAGTGATATTACAACCGTTCATGCAGACTAAAGGCTGAAATGGTGATATTACAACCACTCATACAGACTAAAGGCTTCTTAGTGTCTTCCTCTTTTGAAGACTTGAGATAAGCATATTGTAAAACTTTCGGGAAAAAAAAAATGCTTGTTTTACAAAAAACCAGATTTTATTTCACTCTACACTTGCTTTTGGCAAGTGGCCTTTTTCACAGTCTGATTATAGAATGGTAATTAGTATTATTTCTTCAGCCATGTATAGTATATATTCAGAGAAGGGAGGAAAGCAGATACATATCTACATTTTACTTTGTTCTTTAAATAGGATGTATTTTGGGTTTTTTTAGCTTATTTGTCAGACTTCCAAGCAAATAAAAGCTTTCAAAAGGTTTTATAGATCCAGTATGTAATCCCTTTAAGTAACGTTAACCTCTGTAATAGTGCATTGTTTTGGAAAACTTTGAGATACTCATTTGGAATTATTCTAATTAGCTAAACTTCAAAACAAAATGCTATATGATTGAAAAACAAGTCTTTGACTAGGAATTTTTAAAAAGAACATTTGCAATGATATGACATTGAACTGTACAGGTTTTCAAAATATCTCTTTATTTCAGGGTGGAATTGCTTTTGTTGCTATAAAAGGAGCTTTTAAGGTTTACTTCAAACAGCAGCAATATTTGCGCCAAGCTCACCGCAAAATTTTAAATTATCCCGAGCAAGAAGGAGCATAAGACTGTGATCTCCAGATGTCATACAGTCTCACCTAACAGGTTTCCATATTGTATTGGTTCCATCATTATTGCACAGTAGTGGAGAATTGTGATAAGTTGCTGCTCCTATTTTTTTTTTTTTCTTTGAATATAATATAGCACTGTCTTGTGGCAGGGTAAATCCTTTCAGCAACCACTGAACTGAAGAATGTGACTTGGCTTTCATTATTTTTGGGTATTTCTGTTGGGCACCAGGCTTCTGAATTATTTTCTTTGAGCCAATATGCTGAATGGAGGAAAAAAAAAAGCATCAACTACAGAACACTTAAAATTGTGTAGTTCCTGTAGGGTATATCCAAATGCCTTTTCTATGTGTGTTTTCATACCCATGCTGTCATCCAGTTCAGCAGTTCACACAATGAAGGGAATCTTTTTTTAGAAAGGAAACGCAAGTCATTACCAAAGAGAAGTAATTGTGGGACATCAGTCAATAAGGATTTCCTTGGTTTTTGCTGGTATCAAACAGGGAGTGTAAAATACTCAAATGACTGGTCAGAGAAAGCAGATGATAGATCACGCTCTACAGGACCCATGTGCCAGCTTTAGCCACCTAAGTACTAGGTGTTGAAATTAGCATGGCTTGCAGGTGACTGTTGTATTACTGACAATTTTTACTGTCCTGTTGTATCTTCTGCAGTGCCTAGTGTTATTTTCTCATGGCTCTTTTACTGTTTTGTAACTGATGCTGGATAGCATTTTTTTTTTTCCTCCACAGTAAAATAATTACATGGGGGGATGTAAATTTCAGTTGGCTTATTTTGTAGTTAAGTACTTGTTTAGTTATCATCTTCCTTTTGATTATGTAAATATCTGTACAAGTACAAAAAGCAGTAGAAATGTGAGGAAACAACACTGGACACTAAAGCTACATTTAAACTGACAGATTAGGGCATCTTTCTAAACTTCCAGATCTGGGTTCGTAACTCAGCTCTGTACCAGGACTAGGCTCTCTTCTGCCCATACCAGCTCTAGTGGAAGGATTGGCTGGAAGGGGGCGAGACTACACTTTGGGTACCTAATGTGAACATGGTACATCCCGGCAGGCTAGACACTCTAACACAACTTGGCTCCATTCGTGAAGGACTAAAGGATAAATCTTAAATATGTAATAAACTAAGTTAGTTTATCCAGTAAGCTTTACTGTTACAATATGTTCAAAGTAGCCAGCTCAGCGAGACATTAGCACTTCAGTTATTTGATGTATTTATAAACTTAATTTCAATAGAAATTAACTGTTTAGTGAAGTTAAATTTTGACAAACGTAATACAGCCATTAAATAGTCATACCAGACCTAACCTAGGTTTAGTTACTTGAAGTTTTTTCTTAACAACAATTTCTTTGTTTTTCTCAAAGTCGTGGTTTTTTTTTTCCTTGTTCATATTAGAATGTCAAATGCACAGAGAAAGGTTTTAAAAAAATCTCTTAGTGAACATATTCATAAGTAAATATTTCTTTTCACCAGAAATGAAGTAAATGCAGAATGGACTGCAATAATGTATGTTAGAGAAATTCAAAATATGGTACCTTTTCTATAGTATGTTTATCTGAATTATTGATGTAATATTTTAGAACTGTACAAAAGTGTATATAATGGCCAACTAGTATTCAAAAACTATACAGGTATTGAAAAGTATACATTCAATCAATATCAAATACTTTTGAGGTTCTTGCTGTAACTGAAGAATTACTATAATCTTGTAAGTCTGCTGATTATATTTGTCTTAGTGGGCTCACTTTTATATAAAACTCTAAATAGAGTAGCAATGTCTGAAAGTTGCTGCTTTCTGTAAGATAGTGTTGAAACAATATAATACGTATTTCTTACAGAATTCCTCATTTTGAGAAAACAGCTTTTCAGTGGTCTTCACTGTATATATTTCCAACCAATTTATTACTGTTTTTTAAAGTCTCATGAAGAATTGAATATGCAAATTAGTGGGTTTGAAACTTGTTCCATGGGAAAGCTCATTGTCTCCTATGGAAGTTAAAGCTATTGTAAAAATACAATTATAAAAATACTGTATGGATTATAAAATGATTTCACCTGAGTGGTTGTAAATCTTGTTTTTAAGTATTGCAAATTATAGTTACGTTGAATTAGGTTGAATAAATATTTTTTACATTCCCTAGTGTATTTTGTCAGTTGAACAAGAGCCTGTAGCAAAACTTCTGAATGAAAAATGTGTTTTGTTTTTAATGCATATCTAAGGATTTATATAATCAATCTTAAGTTGTTAGCCTGAAGAAATCTCTTGGGGATGAAGGAAGAATTACTGTGAGGCTTTAAACTTGCATTTACATTTCTTGTATTTTTTTTCCCTCTCCAGTGATCAATACATGATGTAGGGGAATGCATTTCTCAAACATTTAAAGCAGAAGGATTGTTGTAACACGAACAACTCTTCTGGTAATACAGAACCAGGGCTGGGAGTTACTATATATCTCTGGATTGGCTGATGTGCAGCATTTATTTGGGGAATACACTGATCCATCTTCATTGAGAAAGACAATACTGGCTGTAGGAAGTTTGGTTTTGGTTTTTTTTCACTAATGCTTTATTTATGTCCCATTACTTTGAGAACAAGGAATATGAAATGTTATCTGGGATTTCTCAGTGTACATTCTTACCTGTATCTTGGTTTCTCTTAGCCTTCCATTACATCAACATAAAGGCAGAAATTATCGGTCGTGATCATGTAAATACATAGGAGATGCTTCTCCCCTTCTCTCTCCTCTCCTGTCTTAAACTTTTAGATTTAGATGGAGCCATCCTATACTTTTCACTATTTTTTTGTTCGAATGGTGGTTCTTTCCTTCATCCTCTTTCACCTGCAAAAGCTTTTGCATGAGTTGCCTGAAGTATATTAATTCCCTCCTCATCTGGAGTTGTTTCTCAAAGGCTAGCTGTCTCTTGGTTATTTTGTTACCTTGGTTATCAGAGAAGGATCCAACCATGTAGCTATTTAAGGCCTCTCTGGCATTCGGAGTAGTTCTATGCTTGTACGAAAAGATATGCTTAGGTATTGTGACTTCAGTCAGAAGTATCTATTTTAATTGAGGACACAATTTTTACTAGAATTTCAGCTGCATAATGTTTATCATGGCAGCTGTAAGGATTCCCCTTTTTCTTTTTTAAATGCATACTGTGGAACTTTGACAAGTTTATGGAGTAGGTGTTTGAGCGTTGTTTGTAGTAGCTTTTTACTAGCTGCTTTTCAGAAAAGTTTTTAACCATAAACAAGTATGGTCCTCTGTTTGCATAGTGGGTTTTACAGATGGAGAGAACTGGGAGAAGTAGAACTATGAAGATCATAGATCCATTTACTGTTGCACCAGTCATCTTGCCTTTGGAGCCCTGTATTTAATGTTCTATGTCCATGCCACTTTCTATCCAGGTTTTCTTTTTTGAAGAACTAGGATCAAATTTGTTTAATGCATCACTGAGTACAGTCATGTTATCTGTTCTCATAAGAAATGCTGTGCTAACAATTCCTGCTTCCCATTTTAAAGTACAAATGGCAGTTTCACTAACAAGTCTGGTTTTGGAATTCTTATCTAGTAGGCAACTGCTGCTGAAACTTGCATTGATGTGTGTTTTTTGGTGGTTGTTTTTGGTTTTGTGTTTGTTTAGGTTTTTTTTTGTTGTTGGTTGTTTTTTTGGTTTTGCTTTTTAAAGCATGCTGGGCTGGGGGTTGATAGAGGAAAGCATGAGATAGGCTCACAGGTAAAAGCTAGGAAATTCTGAAAAACAGTCTTAGCAGTTGTCCTCTCACTAACAGGCTCCTTCCTCTGCACCGTTGCAAAGTCACTACTCTGTTCCTACACAGTGTGAAACAGAACTTACTTATCCAAACCCAGAAAGTAGTTGAGTATTCATTAGTTCTTGCACAGTTTCAGAATAAGTTCTAGTTTTGAAGGGTGATTAAAATGGAAGTTATTCTGTTTTGGGATGTGTTACTCATCACCTTGATCAAAAGATGGGGATGCGTGGCTAGTTGATTGGGATGGCACTTGTTAGATTGAAAGAAGCTTGCAGGAAGCTGACAGCTAACTAGTGCATTAGCCTGGGAGAGGAATCGTTTATGGGAATGAGCTGTTGTCCTGAATTTTCAGAAGTTTTTATTAATTCCAGTATATTTGTGTGTGTATATAAATAAAAAAATCATACTAAAAGTTTTCTTGGCTACAGATAAGTACATACATGTAAATAGCAATTGGAAAATGGTTCTTGCTAGGACTGAGGCAACAGTTTAATCCATCATGCTGCTACACACTGTCAGGATCAACTCTAAATAGAGTTTTGTAAACTAAATAGAATTTGATGCAGACAGTATTTAAGATGACCTAAAAACATTACACCTGTACAGTGTTGACGATCAACTTTCTTCTTCACTAATCTAAATGGTTTAATTTCTTTTCACTTTAACATTCAAGGCATTCAGTTACTTTTAGCTCCATTTCTCTAAACTGAGACCTCTGACTCTTCATTTAGAATGACTTATTGACCATTTATTTTTACAGTTTCTACCTGGGTTTTCTGGGGGAAAAAACTTCAGTTGCTTCAAGAAACCACATATATTCTTTGATACTTAACTTAATGAGGTAAATAAGTACTCTTCTCATAGATACCCCAAATACCCCACCAACTCTGGCAGTACATCATCCTCCTTCTCACAGCCTCTCAGTACCTGAACTACTGTCTTCTAACCCTGTTGACTGAAAAGGCACATCTTCTCTGACTAGTCTCTCACACTGGCTGTGATTTGGGGAAAGATTCTCACTTTAATCTGTTTTCAGTAAATTCCATCATGATCCGGGAAATCAGAAGCCAGTGTTCCTCAGTTCTTGTAGGCACTGAGGCCAAGGCTTGCTTCTTCATTGCTGTTTAGCAGGTTGCTCTACTGGAATGAGCTGTAAAACTACAAGTATTTGTGCCAAAGTTTGCCCAGCATTTCAACCATTCAAATTCTTTCTGCTTTACTAATTTATAGAAGTCCAGGGTAGGGTTTATTAATTAATTTCAAGGCCTTATTCAAGAGCTTGAGTAATATAGCTCACTTTCTGGAAAGGCAACAGTCGCAAGATGTGCGCAAAGAGAGTATTTCTGGAGTGGAAAAAGAAATCCTATTCTGTAAACAGGGACGAACTATCTGCATTAGGTCATGGCCTCTGTACCTCAAGAAGGTGTGAGTATCTCTGTCCATTCTTGCCAGTTAGTTATTCACATGCTCTG